TATTGAGTGAATAAGAGCTTTATGTAAGATCAGATGATGTTTGGCATATCATTCCTCGTCATTACAAGATTTATCAATGATATTTTTAGGAAAGATTGGACTACAGTGGGACTATATATGCTGAAAGTTTCAGCTTGTTCTGCTGAGATTTTACCAAATAACGAGCCTATTCTTTCAGTGCTTCAAAAATTACTCCTATTGTTCCTGATTATTTAAACCTTGGTTTTTATATAAAAATGTGTCCCCTATAATCTTCTATCGATTGCTGAAAACTGCAGGTCTCTAACTTGTTTCTATCGAAAGTTATTTAAAAAACATCCGACTGCCCTGACTTCTGGCGCCGATATTAGTTCTTCATTTAGATTTAGTACAACAACTTATATAGCTGTAAGTATCAATTAGATTAAATCTAAAATTTATTTCTTTTTACTTTAGATTGCATCCAATAACTTTCTCAATCGTAAGTATAAATTAAATTAAACATAAAAATATTCTTTTTTATTTAGAGTTGGCCCATTAATTTATATAACTGTAGGTAGTAATACATTTATGTAAAACATTTTATTTACTGGATCATGTTTATTTCAACAAACTATATACTTGTAAGTATCATCAAGATAAAATCCAAATATTATTTTTTTTTATTTAGATCTGATGCAACAACTTCACCAATTATAAGTATGAATTGTGTTAAATATAAAAAGTTGTTCTTTTCATTTAGAGTTTGTCCACCAATATATATAACTCAATGTAGTAATGTATTTATACAAATGAATTCGTTTTTCATTTCCATTTATTTCAGTAACTTATATAGCTGTGAGTATCAATTAGATTAAATCCAAATATTATTCTTTTTCCTTTAGATCGTATTCAACACGTTCCTTAAACGTAAGTATAAATTAAACTAAACACAAAAATTAATTTTTTTCATTTAGAGTTGGCCTATTAATTTATACAACTATCTATATATATAATGTTCAGTGTCTGTCATTCATTCTTTTCTTTCTGTCCGGAGTATACTAAACTTCTTTATATTACGAGACAGTGACTCATCCTTATTTTAAAAATGAAGATGAGCGAACGAGGCAATAAGCCTCATCAAATTAGTACCTTGATTAACGATCAGGTTGAACAACCTGACTCAAGAATCAATTCATCAACAGCACACCAAAATCAATCAAAACGTAATATATCAGAAAGATCAAAAGAAGGTGATGACTCATTTGAATTTGAACATCGCTTGGTCACTGCGCGTAACAAATACTTCAACAGTAGCGATTCGCGCTTAAACCCAACGACATCTCGCGCCATAGCAAATCCCACGAATTCAACATCTCCTCGACCGTCATTTCCACCATTTCGTATTACTTTTGTTGCTGACGATACACCATCTGAACTTTCAATTATTAAAGACATCAACAAGAAATGTCGCATCAGCATCTCCTATGGTCGATATTCAAAAATGGGACACAATAAAAGTTTTCTTTTATATGCCAACTCAAGTGAACAATTTGATCGCTTAATGGATAAAAATATTTGGCCTAAACAAATATGTTCTCTTGATTTTTCTCTTGATTTGTCATCTAAAGTTTCCTCTTATTCTATTGTAGCATTAGGTGTTCCTGCTCAATGGAATTTAACTAAATTCGAATTAGATATCAGAAAGCAATATCCGACAATTATCAAAGTTGAACGACTTTATATTAAAGGTGGTATACCAATTTCGAAAGTACGAATTGATTTTTCATCCAATCAAGATGTGAACAAAATTATCAAGAATAAAAAATTATTATTAGATGATGATAATATGTCATTCATGATCCAACCGTATTCATCGCCACTTCGAATATTACGATGCTTTAATTGTCAACAATATAATGATCATATTGCAGCTAATTGTCCACACAAGGACAACAAACAACAAATCGAATGAAGAAAATCTTCCTTCTTCCGTTTGGACAACAAATCAATCTAAACGCAATACACCTATTCATCCATCCAGTGCATCTGAAAATATTCAAGAAAATACAAATGCAAATGCAATCTTGGACATTTCGAAGAAACTTGATTTACTTATGATTAAAATAGAACATCTTTCAACTGAACAAGCCAAGATTAATTCAAGTACTCACAATTCAATTCAACTTCTCACTTCATGTCACAAAGAAATTAATCTATTAAAAGAATTTATTCTGAACAAATTCTGTCCATTTGTTTGTGAAATGAGTGATGCATTTCTTGGTAAGAGCAAACAAGTAGAGAAAGATCGGCTACGGCCATTACTTATTCAATTCAAACAAGATTTCAAAGAAGCAACTAAATCAACTGCTTTTGATACACGAACTAATGCTATATTACCAAATTCCTCATCAAATGAATCCATCAGCGATGACTTTTAAACCAAATCAAAAGAAATTTTATTCTATCAATACCGATCAATTAACAAAAGCTGAAGAAAACATCTTTCAAGAATTATTATGTGAATGGATTGATACTCCCACACTTGATCTTTTATTTGAAAAATGGACAAACCATCGTGATAAAAATTTTTCTTTGATGAACATAAAACAAAATATATCTCTTCTTCTTTTAAATGTCTCTAGTTTAAACAAGTACCTCGTCGATGTATTTAAATTAATTGATGCCATATCATCACCAATTGTGATATTAAATGGTACGCATCATGATGATAATTCGGTTAAACAATTTAGGTCTCATTTCTTTAACTTTAATGTTTTTACAATGAAAGGAACAAATATGTTTGGTGGTGTGTTAATAGCAGTGCATAAATCAATTCGTTCACAACGTGTAGATGAATTTGACAATTTATGTAATTTAATCGTGTTGGAAGTTGGATCAGATCTGGATATGTTTCAATTAGCTACATGTTATTCTCCACCTACTGAACCCATTCCTCTTGATATATTTGATCGTTTGCTTCAACGTAATCCAAATTCAATCTTTACCGGAGATTTTAACGCTAAGCACAATTCATGCTCAAGATCTGCAGATAATCAAACGGGTCGAGCTTTATTCAGGTGGCTATCTTCATCACCAATACATTCATCTCTGGAAATTATTAACAAATACATATCTACTTCAACTCGTTCAAATGCAACAATTGATTTAATTGTTGCACCATCGCATATGTTGTCTACTTCCTTCTCGGTTCTTCCAAGTATTGGAAATGATCATCATCCCGTTCTATGGCATCCGTCATTTAAAATATCCTCCACTCATCATCGTTTTCCTATCAAGTGCACCCGTTGGAATCTTCTCGAAATTTTTCTTACATTTACAGCCACGTATTGGCAATGGTTAGCTGCTTCTATGTCATATTCAGCAGGTTTCTTCTCATTATATGAACGTTTTCTCTCGTTATGCACATCACGCCTTACCTTCATCACTTTCCGAAAAACAATTAAACCATCTTTACCTCAACAAGTAACGTTCATCGTCAAGCGATTCACTTAGCCCTAGACTGATAGAATACATGTACGGATGTAATAACATAAAAAGCTACATTAAAAAAGTAATACGCAAAATTGATAATATTACTAGTATATCTTAGGCGACCAGAAAACTTAATTTGGAGAATTCTCACTCTAAGTAAAGATGATGCATTTACAAATTTAATTTTTTTTATCGTTTTTGTTTTATTTTTTTTTGCTTTTATAAATATAAATAGCGCCCAATAAGATTAGACAACAATACGATTTTTTTATAATTATATTGGCGCTATTTGTACGTACAAAAATATGAATTATATTATTCATAAAATTTGAGTTTTATTAATCAATATTTTATGCTTAAATTCGCGCATTAATTCTAAACTATTAATAAATTAGATATTCATTGATACAACATTGCACAATCAATGCTACAATAATGAATAATTTAAACGATTTCTTTAAATCCATACTGCTCATTTGGTCTGACTCTCACTGATTAAATGCTTTTGTAAGCCGTTTTACACCACTACCCGAATTATAGTTATTCCATTGACATTTTACCCATGATTATTATGGGTTCATTTACATCAGTCTTTAGATGGTCATTTGTACCATAGTTACCGGAATAGTTGTTTGTACCATGGTTGCTATTTGGTCACCTGTGCCATAGTTACGTGGTCGTTTGTACCAAAAAAATGACCGTTTGTACCATAGTTACATGCTCATTTGTACCATAGTTACCTAGTTAATTTTAGTAAAAAAATGGCCGTTTGTGCCAAAAAAATGGCCACTTGTGCCAAAAAATGGTCATTTGTGCCATAAAAATGGTCTTTTGTGCCAAAAAAATGGCCATTTTGACCGCGCTACCGACAGACAGACGGACAGACAGACACAGGTGAATTTCGGTTTCTAGATCCTAGCCTTTCAGTCTAGGGAACATATTATCTATATGATTAAACAAAAACGTCAATATCTTAAATTATTTCGTCAAACACATCATCCTCATTTTGCTGTTGTTTTACGTGATATGTCTAAAATGATACACAAGCAGCTATTTCTCCACAAAAGAAAATCGTGGCTGAAGTATTGCAATTCGTTTAACGATTGTGATACAACAGCTTTCTGGAAAAAAGTAAAGCGTCATTTCAACTCTCGTGCAGCACCTATAGAAGGTTTTCTCACCAACAACAGCATCATCTCCTCGCCAATTGACATGTGTAACATTGCCAAAACGTTTTATGAAAAACAATTTTCTAGCCATCAACTCACTCAGTCGGAAATTGACATTGAAGCCAACAATCTTGATGTTGAAATTGAAACAATCTTGACAAACAGACCGACTATTCCTATTAATATTACTTACCATCATCTTCGATCCATTTCTTCTTCCAAAAAAATAAACATTCGACTGGTTTGAATGGAGTATCAAATCGATTAATAAAATTGCTTCCTCCAGGTCATCTGTCACTCATCCTCTCGTGATTGAACAACTTCGCAGCTACCTTGCAAACACAATTACATTGGCATATTGCGAAAATGATCCTTTTATCAAAAACAAAATCAAAAGTGGTATCTATTGAAGAAACAAGACCAATCTCTCTACTGCCGTGTTTCTCAAAATTGTTCGAAAAATGCTTTCTGATACATTTTCGTCAATGGATAAACGAACAAGGTATTCTCCCAGCTGAACAAAGTGGCTTTCGTCCCGGTCATAACATGACTGTGCGTTTAGTTGCTATTATAGATCAAATAGGGCAGTGTTTATAAAAAAAATACAGCAGCTGCTGCACTTTTTGTTGATTTTCGGACTGCGTTTAACCAACTCTGGTTCAACGGACTATGGGTGAAACTAACCAATCTGCAATGTCCATTATATTTAATCGCTTGGTTTCATCATTATTTAAGACACAGAAAAGCCTATATCGATATTAAAACACGTCATCTGCCTTGTTCAACCTTTCAAAAGGGGTTCCACAAGGCAGTTGTATTGGTCTGGCGTTATTCATAATATATCATCATGATATTCTTCAAGCATTATCAACTATTCATTGGAAACATTTATTTGCCGACGATCTTGCCATTTTATTCTCACCATCGCCATCAATGTCTTCATCAAATATGATAAATGCATTAGCTAATCAAATAAAACATGTACTTCTTCATCTGATAAACTATTCAATCAAGTGGAAACAGCCAGTAAACTTTAGTAAAACATGTTGGATTCTCTTTAATCGTCAAGTTGTTCCACGAATTTCAAATACTATATGCAATGGTCACAATATCGAACACGTTAAAAAATTCAAATATTTGGGTACTATATTAGCTGCTAAATTATCTTTTACAGCACATATAGACTCCATCAAAGCAAAAATTCGTACCAATATGAATATATTCAAACGATTAAATTCATGTCGTATGATGACTGAACAAGTAAATTATCGGCTGTACAATGCATTTATCAGACCATATCTTCAATCAATACTCAACATTTATCCTATCCTTACTCCATCAAAACAGAATCAACTGGAAGGTCTGAATCGAAAAGTATTCAGAGTAATGCAACAATGGTGCGGTGCAACAAATATCGAAATCGAAAATCGACCCAAATATCAATCTATTTCGAAATTAACACTCAAACATTGGGATAAATTAATTCATACAATTCTAGTAACAAATCTTAGCATTCTTGTAGATTTCTTACAACACAAATTATCGATCCTATACTTTCGTGAATATCTTTCTAATCCAACATTAGCTACTGAAAGAAGAAAAATGTTTCGCGCAGGAAGATTCCGTAAAAATATTCGTAATATGCTATCCGAAGATCGTCCATCACTGTTCGATTTTATTTTATGTTATCATTGATGAAAATGTTTTCTTCTTTTCGTCTGTCAAATATCTATATCATATATATCCCTTGATCAATGTTAACTAAAGCTTTTCTTTCTCCTTTCTACTTTTTTCCCATTTCTCGTCAACTTGTCTTTATAAAATGTTGTATCAAGTTGGTTTTCTTTTTTCCTCCTACAGGACCGATGTTCGCTCATAGCTTAAATAAAAGCATTACTATACATAATGTTCACTGTCTGTCTGTCTCTCTGTTTCTCTTTCTCGGGACAAAGCTCACCTGACGCTATAAGGGGAAGATTTACAGCGACTATTAAATGGCTCCTTATAGGTCCACAAAGGCTACCCTATAGAAGTACCCATAGGTCCTCAAGGGCTATCCTATGCGGGTACCCATAGGCCCTCAACGGCCATCCTATGGGAGTACCCATAATTCTTCAAAGGCTATTCTGCGGGGGTACCCATAGATCCCCAAGGTCTTATGTGGGGGTACCCATAGGCCCTCAAGAGCCATCCTATAGGGGCACCCATAGGTCCTCAAGGACTATTCTATGGGGGTACCCATAGTTCCCCAAGAGCTATTATGTGGCGGTATCCATAGGTCCTCAAGAGCCATTCTATGGGGTACCCATCGATCCCCAAGGGCTATTATGTGGAAGTACCCAAAGGCCCTGAAGGGCTACTATATGGGCGTACCCATAAGTCCTGAAGGGCTATTACGTGGGGGTACCGATAGCTCCTCAAGGGCCATCCTATGCGGGTACATATAGGTCCATAAGGGCCATCCTATAGGGCTGCCCATAGGTCCTCAAGGGCTATTATATGGGGGTACCCATAGGACCCCAAGGGCTATTATGCAGGGGTACCGATAGGTCCTCAAGATCTATCCTATGGTGGTACCCATAGGTGCTCAACGCCTGTCCTATGGGGGTGCGCGTGGCTCACCAAGGGCTATCCTATGTGAATACCCATATGTACTCAAGGCCTATCCTATGGCGGTAGCGGTAGGTACCCAACGGCTATCCTATGGGGTACCCAGAGGTCCTCAAAGGCTATCCTACGGCGGTACCCATAGGTTCTCAAGGGCCAATCCTAAGGTGGCACCAGCAGATCCCCAAGGTCTATTATGTGGGGGTGCCCACAGATCCCCAAGGGCTATCGTGTGGGGGTACCCATAGGTCCTCAAGGAGTATTGTATGGGGGATCCATAGGTCCTCAAGGGCTACCTATGGCGGTACCAATAAGTCCTCAAGGGCTATCCTATGGGGGTACCAATGGGTCCTCCTGGGCTATGCTATGTGGGTACCCTCAGCTCTGCAAGGGCTATCCTCTTGGGTTACGCATAGGTTCTCAAGAGCCATCCTATGGCGGTACCCAAAGGTCCTCAAGGGCTATTCTATGGGGGTACCCATAGGTCCCCAAGGGCTTTCCTATGGAATACCCATAAGTTCTCGCGGTCCATCCTATGGCTGTACCCATAGGTCCTCAAGGGCTGCCCTATGGTGGCACCCATAGGTCCTCAAGGTGTAGCCTATGAGGGTAGCCATAGGTCCTCAAGGATCATCCTATGAGGGTACCCGGAAGTCCTCATGGGCTATTCTATGAGGGTACCCATAGGTCCCCAAGGACTGTCCTATGGGATACCGATAGGTCCTCGCGGGTCATCCTATGGCGGTAGGGACAGATCCTCAAGGGCTATTCTATGGGGGTAGCCATAGGTCCTGAAGCGCCATTCTATGAGGAGACCCGTAGGTCCTCAAAGGCTATTCTCTGGGGGTGCCCAAAGATCCGCGAGGGCTATTATGTGGGAGTGCCGATAGGCCCTCAAGGGGTCTTCGAAGGGGGTTCTCGTAGGTTTCCAAGGCTGTCCTATGGAAATATCCATAGGTTTGCAAGGGCTATTATGTGGGGGTACCCATAGGTCGTGAAGGGCTATCGTAGCGGATTACCCATAGGTCTTCAACGACCATCCTATGAGGATTCCCATAGGTCCGCACGGGCTATTCTATAGGGATCTCCATAGGTCCTCAAGGGCTATCGGATGGGGGTACCCATGGATCCCGAAGGGCTATTATGGAGGTGGGGCCATAGTTGCGGAAGGACTGTTCTATGAGGATCTCCATAGGTCCTGAAGCCCTATCCTATGGAGGTACCCATAGGTCCTTCAGGTATATTCTATCAGGGTACCCATAGGTCGTGAAGGTTTATACTTTGGGGGTACCGATAGGTCCTTAAGAGCTGTCCTAGGGAGGTACCCGTAGGTCCCAAGGGCTATCCGATTGGGGTACCGCTACAGCTTCCCAATGGCTATCGGTTGCGGGTACCCATGGGTCCCGAATGGCTATCCTCTGGGGGGTACCTATATGTCCTCCATGGCTATTCTATCGGGGTATCCATATGTCCTCAATGACTATCCTATGGTGGTATTCATAGGTCCCAAATCGCTGTCATATTGTGATGCGCATAAGCCCTGGATGGAGTATGGCAATAGGGAGATATGGCTACATGGAATATAAGGCCGAAGGCTGCATGGACTACATAGAAACGGGCGATATGAGAATATGGGTCGTCGCGGAATCTAGCTATATACATTATATCGAATGTCTGTATGTGTTTAACAGTATGAAAGGTTAAATATCTGAGGTCATACATGAAAACAGAAAACAGCCGTGCAGTATGGACGGGTTCTCGCTGGTAAGTATTAATGGATGGACGTAAAAAATTTTATTTGTTGGATCAGATTTATTTCAACAAGTTACGTAGCTGTAAGTATCATTTAGATAAAATTCAAATATTATTTTTTTTTCTATTTAGATCTGTTTTAATAAAGTTTCCAATGGTAAGTATAAATTAAACTTAATGTAATTTTTTGTTTAGAGTTGGACTAATGATATATACGGCTCAGAGATAAGCACAGGGCACGATTTTTTCTTCTGTCCTGCCGTGTTCTGCTAGCTATCTCGGCCCTGCGGGTGACAGGACAGGACAAAAATCAAAACTTTACTGCCCTATTTTTGTCTTGCTAACATTTTGTCCTGGCGGACGGCAGGACAGGGCAAAATTAAAAATCTGGTCCTATCCTGCTTTTGTCCGGCTATTTTTTCTGTACTGGCGGGCGTCCGTAGAAGACGTCACGATTTCTGCTGTTTTTCTGCCAATTCAATCCGTTTTCACAGGTTGTAAAATTCCAAGAGTGAGAGGTTTGCTTTTTTCTTTCATTGTACTACCCAGGTCAAGCTCGGTACGTCGGAACCGATCGGTTCCGTTGAATTCCGACGATTTCTTTACTACAGGACTCCGATCCAGATTTCGTCGGACCAGTTCCGATCAGTTTCCATGGGTCCCGTCGATTTCCGACGAATTTCTGGTCGAAATTTTGCGGAACTTAACGGAATTTTTCCGGCGGAAACTGGACCGGAATCCTGTAGTCAAGAAATCGTCAGAAGTCAACGGAGCCGACCGAAAACCAACGGAATCTATAGGATCCGCTGCCGGAAAACAAAGGAAACAAACGGTTCCGGCGATCGGGACAGTGGACCTGGGTAGGCAAATATCACCAATTAATATTATGTAACTAATGGATTTTATACTATTTTCAAGAAAAAAAATATTAGAGATGAGCACAGAACAAGGTTTTTACCTGTCCTGGCGGGCGGCAGGACAGGACAAAAATGAAAATCTCGTCCTGTCGTACAGAACAGGACAACAGGACGTCCTGCTTTGTTCTCATCTGTGATACAGCTCTAGGTATTAATGCATATACATGAAAATTTTTAATTTTTGGTTTAGATCGAGTTCAGCAACTTATATAGCTGTAAGTATGGATTAAATTAAACATATAGAGTTCTTTTTTTATTTAGAGTAGATCCAGCAACTAATACACCTGTAAGCAATACTAAAGCTGAATATATAACTTTACTTTTTTCACTTAGATCTGGCGCAACAACATAAACAGTTGTAAATATGAATAAACTAGCGAGAACCCGTGCATACTGCACGGCTGTTTTGTCCTTTAACCCATGACCTCAGACATTTAACTTTTCATCCGGTAAAATGCATACAGACACTGGATATTATGTATATAGACAGATAGTCGTACGGCCTCATACTCTCATATCGCACATATGTTTATAGGCAATGCAGCCTTCGACCTTATAGCCTTATATTCCTTGCAGCCTTATCTCCCTATTGCCTTACTCCCTTCAGGGCCTATGGGTATCACAATATAATAGCCCTTGATGACCAATCAGTATGCCGCTAGGATAGCCCTTGAGGACCTATGAGTAACACATAGGATAGCCCTTGGGGACCAATGGGTACCTCCATATAATAGGCCTCGGAGACCTATGGGTACCCCCATAGGATAGCCCTTCGGGACCTATACGTACCCTCATAGGATAGCCCTGGAGGACCGATGGGTATCTCCACAGGATAGCCCTTGAGAACTTATGAGTACCCCTGTACGATAGCCCTTGAGAACCTATGGATACCCTCTTAGGATAGCCATTGAGGACGTATAGGTACCCCCATAGGATAGCCCTGGAGGAGGTATGGGTACATCCATAGGATAGCTCTGGAGGACATATGGGTACCTCCATAGGATAGCCCTGCAGGACCTATGGGTACCCCATAGGATAGGCCTTCGGGACCTATGGGTATCCCCATAGAATAGCCCTTGGGGACCTATTGGTACCCATAGGATAGCACTTGGGACCTATGGGTATCCCCATAGGATAGCCATGGAGGACATATGGGTACCC